CAGCGTGAATGGATGTTTGTACTCACGCGGACACTCAATCAACTGTTGGATTCTAGTCGAGTCTCCTCCGCTGTTGTTAACATGACAGTTGTCTAACAGAAATACAGAGAGCTGACGTTACTATGGGCACTGTGAGAGTGGAGTGGGTTTTAATCTTTGATTTGATTGATTGATTCTGCTCGTCAACCCCAGTTAGGATTGAATCTCAATATTCAGAAGGGGAAACAGAATATGTTGGAGGCAAACACATTCATTATCTGAAGCAAACTGACCACTGGAGAAACACTGAGGGTAAAAGATACAATTTTATAAAATATTAGTGTGCTCTAGCTGACATGCATTGTTGAATGGTCATGTATTTTTGTTTTTTTTTTTACTTATTTCCCCTCTGGTGCCATCATTAGCTGGTTTTGAGGCATTATGACATTAAAGAAAAACCCACAGGACAATCTTTAAGATGACTAATTTTGTATACATTTGGAACAAGACTCAGAATTGGCTCTCAATACCCAAACTCTGTATTATAGAGGACAGGACTGAAAAGACTGAAGACAGAAAAAGAGGAAATAATGACAGAAAGTACAGACAGATACAAGCAGGTAGAAAGCATGAGAGAACTATTGGGTTGCAGAGACTGATAAGTGCATGAACAGACAGATGTTCGATAAACAGCAGAAATCAAAACAGGTATTTTGAGACAGATAACAGGAATAACACAGTGGTTGTGGACAAATACCACGACATTGGAACAACAGACTTGATGCTGCCAAGTGGACAACATTACACTCCTCAGTAAGTTTTCGGTCCAACATGTAACCAACTGACAGTTTAAACTGAACTACACTATTCCATGAAAAATCCAGCTCTCTCAGTCTAGATCATGTAGAGCTTTTGCATCAGAGCAGAGATTCACAACTCCACAAAGTAAGATATGGGTGTTTTTACAACACATTATACTGGCAGAATAAAATTTGGAGGAAACCTGGTCCACACAAAACATGACCGAATCAAAAAGTGGAATGAAGTGTCTTCTAAAAGGAGAAACACTGGTCTCAGCAACACTTTAAAAGGACACATATGCAGACTTCACTTTTAGAGCATTTTCCGATATTCACATGGGTCTCCAGTATGTAGAGACACACAAAATATGAGAAAAGACCAGACCCTGCTTGTTTTGCTTTTTCTTCATTTGGAGAAACCCCTGCTCGGACATGCTGTGTGGATTCATCTCTCTTTATGACGACATATGAAATGATGTGGCAGTTCATTTCATAAGCCCTCATCCCTCATCAAAATGGGTTTTACCGACACAGACATCTGCTCACAATGCACTCTAGATTGCACCGACAGTTACTTTCATGCTACTTGGACCTGCCAACCAGTTCATTCCCTCTGGATAGCAGTGACAGAGAAACTCTCCACCATCTTGGGCTGTAGAATCCCTCCTTCTCCATCACTTTGTTTACTCAGTAATATCATAGAAATCGACCACCTACCAATTAAATATAAAAACCCACTCCTCATTTCTCTAGCTATTGCCAAGAAAACAATCTTTCAAAAATGGAAATCAAAAACATCACTCCACATAAACCACTGGACCAACCTTCTGATAGAATACATCACATTAGAGAAAATGGGATCCACTCACATGAATAGTTTATCTGCTTTCTATGACACATGGAACCATTTTTAACACATTTCAACTTGAACCAAACACCTGGGGCTGAGGCCACACACATTCCCACCAATCTCTAAAATGTTACAAGTTGATTTTAGTACTGTTATCATTATTATTGGTATTATTGGTAATTTTTTTTTTGTATTTACTTCCCCTCCTTTTCCCTTTCTTGCATTTTATAGACTGCATAAGTTGGAAATACCCACACTTCACACACTACAACCTCGAACTATAATGTTGGGAATCACTTCACATGATCAGGTTAACATTGTCTTTTACAAAGTATGGCTTTATAGATTAGATTTTTCTATTATTTTACTGTATCTCTTAATTTAACAGCATTTCAGTCAGTGATGTTTTAACTTATCTAGCTTAGATGACTAAATGAACTTTATATCCTGTGAACCACTCTGCAAAACGTGCTATAGAACAGTGCAATGTTAAACTGCTTGTTATTATGAGTCTCAAACTACCATCAATATCTTCACCAACTGCACCATCATCTGTGTCTGTATCCTCCTCATCCTCGTCCTCCTCCTGGTTCTCAGGTGTCTGCAGGCTCTGTTTGTTCTCGACAGGCTCCACTACTGGTCCAGAGGAGACAATGTCGACATCTGTCATGTGACCAGATCAGATATATACGATTTTGTCGAAGCTTTATCAGCCGGACATATGTTCAGAACAGAGTAAAAGCCCAAATGAAGGTAGATCCCTTCACAGTGGCATTGTGCACAGTGAGACAGCCACCTCCAGCATTCATGTTCAGTGTTGTCATTCAACCAACAGAAGCCAACCAGTGACCAAAAGCTCTTTTACCAAGAAGAAGAAAAACAAAGCAGCGGACAGTTTGGCAACCACTGAAGCAACCCAGACCCAATCAGACTCGAAAGAGTGCCACCATGTCCCTGAGACAAACACACCCAATGGCTCCACAAACCTTCCTGTCATTTAACAGTCACGTTTGTCCTCGTATAGCCTGGCATTGATCCTGGGGGCTTGGGCTGAGGATTTTTATATAGTGGCCACAGCTTCAACTGCATTGTGAAATGTGTGTTTATTATCACAATTTGAGCCATTACGTCCAAAAATAAAACAAAAATCTCAACAAACTGAATCTGTATTTTACTTTCAGTGCAAGCACCTGGTGACCAACCTTCACTGGAATAAATGGAATGCCATCTTGGAACAAGCAGTCCAGTTCTCTTAATACACCTGTGGAATGACTACTTTGCCCCAGACAGCAGTTTAAGGTGTGTTGCACAAAGGAAAAACAAGATTTTTCTTTAATTACAGCTTGTGGTGTTTACTGATAAGGCCAACGAAACGGTAAAAGACTGCATTTCAACCCCAACACCTGTACTGAATGACCGCACTGTTGCTCATTATGTATGGGTCGTCTAAACATCCTTACTTTAACTCTTCTCATCACCTGTACTTATGCATACTACACACCACTATATACCTTTTATTGGAATCACTGATTGCAGCCCTGCACTGTCACCATGAACACAATACATTTAATAAAACCACACTCCACCAGACAACTAGTTTTTATGCATCAAAACTAGGGATGCACACCCTTAACTGATTAACCATTTACCAACAATAAGAATTCCAACCAATTGATACTATCAGTTGCACTCAAAGTGCTGCAATGCCCATTCACCCAGTCACAGTCCCAAGCTCACACACACACACACACACACACACACACACATACACACACACACACACACACACACACTCACAAACCATTGATATCACCGGGAGCAATTTGGGGTTCAATGTCTCGCTCAAGGACACTTTGACGTGGGGACTAGAGAAACAGTGATCCACTCTACTTCCTGAGCCACAGCCGCCCCATATTACAATATAATGCTCACGGTAGCAGAACCTTCTAGTGGAATTGTGTTGAGGTTTCTGAATGTACACTTGTGTTGGCTGTCTCTCTGAATAGTTTAGGACAAAAAATATACTGAGGGCCTATGAGGACGTCTTTAATCAAAAAAACATCTTGACTGAATGTGAATCAACATCACCTGTCCTTCAAAACTACCAGAGAACACAGTCTCATAAACAAGGCTACAGACCAACACAAGACAAAGAGCCAGACTTCCACTGTGACAGACAGAGACAAAAGAACAAAGAGGGCAACCAGAGCAGTGAGCAACAGGAAGTTATGTGGGCATCATGCAGGAAGTCATCGTGCATTGTAAGTGCGGGATGAGGAAGTGAAGTTAGTGGCGACAAACAGTGGCAAAAAGGACAAGTCTCTAAAAGTAGACCAGAGACGTTTGGACTCACCTAGACTGTTGTTCTCTTTAATGCTTTTCTCTTGCAGCTGCTCTAACCGCACTGTAAACAACAACAACAATAACACAGAGAAGTGTTGACTGACACAAAGTCCTGATTCAGCCTCCTGACTGGTCAGAGATGTGTCCTGGTCCGGCCACTGGTTGTTATAGGAACTCTCGTGTTAACTAGGGAGTTAAAGTGATTGGCTCAAAGGGTGCAGTACTGTTAGTGTGTTAAAAGCTAGGACGGGGCTCTTTGTTTATTTGTGTGTGTGCAAGTGCATGTACCCTGCAGGGCGGCAAGCCTCTCATTGGTGAAGTCCTTGTCGGCCTGCAGAGCTTCGATGCGAGCCTGGAGAACCTGCTCCTTCTCCTCCATCTCTTCAATCCGCAGCTCCAACTCCTTCTTCTCCATTGCTGCCTGCTGGGTCAGCTCCTCCTGTCGGCCCTCCGCCAACTGGAGGAGCAGAGGAGGGTGGTGAGTACAGGCAGGGAGGGGACAGAGGAAGAAGACATTGAGAGGAGATGACAAACCAGGGTGGAAGAAAAAGTCAGCCGGAATAGCAATTGAGATGTTTGAGGGACAAAAGAAGAGGAAAGGAAAGAGGAGAAGAGAGGGATGAAAGAAAGAGAAGAAAAGAGGACAGTATTTAAAGGAAGGAAGGAAAAGGACATTTGTAATATTTAATTGAAGTTCTGCTTATGTTTTTGGTATCGTTGTCTCCAATACTGACTTGAAATGTGAGATAAACTTCAGAGAAGTTAAAGTCAAATCTTATTTAATTTCAATAACTTCTTCTCTGTGTGTCTGGAGTCCCTGAACAGGTACCTTGATTTTGTCTGTGAGCTCTTTGATCTCATTGACAGCAGCGTTGTACTTGTTAGCCAGCTCCCTCAGCTCCTCCTGGCTCCTCTCAGACATCTCCTTCAAGTGTGTGCATTCATCCTCTGTGTTACTGAGTGAACGCTGCAGGACAGAAGAAACAAGAGACATTTTAGAGTCGCCGCACACCTAAAAATAACAAATTAACATTACAGACACTACGATGAGGCGCTCAGTCTGTCCTACCTCCACCTCTGAGAGCTTCCTGACCACCTCGATCTTCTCCTGCAGGACTCTCCTCAGAGACTCTTTCGCTGTAGTCTCGTAGTTGTGTTTGTCCTCCTGAAGAGCCAAAAGCTCCTTACGGATCGCTTCCTCTGTCTGGGACTGTGAGAGCAGATGAGCTGATTTGAGCTATTTTTTGCAGGATTTTTCATTTTAATTCTGACTGACTGGCAGTGCTGCAGAGGTGTGTGTGTGTGTGTTACCTTAGAGTAAGCCTGTAGCTGACTGCCCATCACCTCCAGTTTGGAGAGTAAACGGTCCTCATCGATCAAAGCCTGGAGGGGAGAAGTGCTCAGTTTACAGCTGTGTTCAACATACTTGTTCACATTGTGAGGTAAAAGGGATTGATAACACCTCAGAAAACCTATGTAACATTTGTCCCTCCTCATGTTATTGTGCAGGGTTGCAGCAGGAGCAGACGTCTTTACTGCTCCTCTTGTCTGTTCTACGATTTTTCACATCTTCTACATTTTCAAGTCTTTGGACAAATTCTACAACTATTAAAATGCCTCCAAGAGGGAAAAGAGCTAATAAATCAAAAGCGAACGAGGATGTTGAGGCAGAAGAGGATTCTATTTCAGTGGCGCAAGTAGCTGAGATGTTGAATCAGCAGCAGCTGATGTACACAGCACTATTGTGCCAACAGCAAGAAAGCTTCCAAGGCTTTGTGAAACTAATTATGGAAACAAACAACAAGAGACTCGATGACATAACCAAAGAAATACAGGAAATAAAAACGAGTTTGCAGTTTACCCAGCGAGATGTGGATGCGATTAAAGCAGCTGTGGGTGAGCAGGAAATACATGCCAAAGA